ACACCAGAGAAGAAAAACTTTCAGCACAGTCAGGCAGAGAATTCACATGGACACATGATGACATGGAAAATAATCAAGTACCATCAGAAATAGTAGCATGAAATAAAGGAAGCGTCTCCTAGCTGTAACTGGAACAGTGCCTGCAGAACCAACAAAATTGGATGTGTGAGCATTCCTGAATCCACTGCTGCAGGACCTCAATTGGATTTACTCAAGTCATATACATTAATGTTAATTTTTTATTGAAACAGTTGTAGGATTTTCTCTACATGTCTGTGCTCTGAAAATGGCAATCTGAATCAGTGAGATAATAACAAGCAGTTAGAAACAAGTAACATCTCAAATGATCCCAAGCATTTGCAGAGCAAATGTGCATTTATATTTGCTGTTTTTTTTTTTTTTTTTGCAAGTGAATCATGCACAGGTTCACATAAAATCCACTGAGTATTTGGTGGAAAAGTAGTAGTCACAAAAAACTTTACTTCCCAGTGTCAACACTGAAAATTAATACAGCTGAAGGTATTTTCAAAACAGGTCAGATTATAGGCTTCTTCAGAGATCTAATTAGACAAATAAGGTGATCTTTCCCTGGAAATAGGTAGGAAATTCACTCCACCTGTTCAAACCAAAACCTGGACTATACTAATTAGTAAAACTGATCATCATTTTTGCTAATGCAAAAAGGAAATAACCCATTAAGGAGCAATGATAATGGCCTGACATTGTCATAAGCAGATTGAAATGCAACTACGTGTATTCCAGTATCATTGCCTGGTTAGAGCTGATGATTTCCACAGGGCACTTCCATTCCTATCTCAGGAGTACATTCATAAAATTATGCTTTTAATATAGTACATTTCATGATTTTAAGACGGTAGCATTTAATAGTAAATAATTTCCAACTTCAAAGAACAATGTGAAAGATCAATGTATCTCCTCCTTATTCTTATATTCCACAGAATATAAGCCATTTCCTCCAGAGCTCCTTTTTGCTATTTACACACAGATTCAACATGGAAGCCAACGGGTGACAGATGGCTTTTCCCTTTCAGGTGACAGTTCCTTTTTCACAGAAGGAAATACAGACCATCCTCACTCACCTACATAACACAAACTCAATTGACTTCTGACTGCAAGGACAGAAGGATAAAGAAAGAGGATCTGCTTTCCAAACATTTTCTTCTGCATTGATATAGGTGGTGAAGTAGCAACAATGAGAGACCCCATTGGTGGAAATCCCTTTTGGCAACCAAAGTTAAGCTGGTAGCCATGAGAAAGGGAAGAAATTATTCATTTTGTCCCCAACAGAACACAGCACACAAAATCATCACTGTCTTACACTCGCTTATAGCACAAGACTGCAAAGACCCAAGTCTTAGTGTCCAGGGCATATTGATGTAGGAGGACAATGCACTTCCCAGACAGCCAAAGGTCTAAATCTGCAAGGTCAATTCATGCTGATTAACATTCTAGTAATATGCATAAGCTTAACAAATGTATGCATGGTTTAAGATGCTGATCTCATGACTACAAGCAGCCCAATCACATGCTCTGGCCTCACACACCACCGTGGCTGTGAAGTGTAGCATCAGCTGATTTCGCTCTTCTGAAGTGCACTTTCAGCACAAGGCTAAAAAAACATAAAAGGTTTTGACCTTGTTTAGTCCACAATAAAATTTGTTAGGCAAGATCACATTATCCCACATTTTAAAAGGAAGAACAGAGAGGTGGCCAGTTTCCATAGATTCCGTGAAAACCAGGAAGTTTTTCTAACAAAGACCTAAGACACAGAATCACAACAGGCAAGACATTCAAGTGGCAAGAGAGAGAGCACACATGGAGAACAGAGTTGAAGAGACTGGAAATTGGAAACTTTTATAATAGAGAAGATATGAAAAGGACTGAAAGAGAGAAGAAAGGGTAGAAACAGGGGTGACATACTAAGCAAGTGCTATTAACCATCAAAATGAAGGTGACAAGTGAAATGAGGAAGACAGAAACATTACCAAAGAGGAAGTTGAGTATCGCACTTGCAAAATTGCTCATACTATAACACCACTTCTCCCTGTGTGCAGACAAGCACGAGGGAATGCCAAGATGAGCCTTGGCACTGTTGCAGATTATCTGACGTGTTCCTCAAGGAAGGAAAGGCAGCACACCAATTCTGGATGAAATAATGCATTCTGTGTCTTAGAATATGTTTTCATGTCTGCAGTGCCCAGCACAACCTCTCAAAAGAGTAGGAAGACAATGTTCTTGAGAACACAGCAGAGCTCAAAAACAGAACCATCATGCCTTTCAACAGAAAATCAGTGCTCAAGACTTACCCATTAATAGAGTGGAAGATTTTATCATATTCTTCATCAGTAAGATTCAATCTGAAACACCAAAAAATAATTATAGAATACATACTACATACATATATTTGACCGCAAAAATATAATCTCTGTTGAACAGAAATGTCTGTCAGAAAATACGGAGAAGGCATGCTTTAAACAGAGTAAGATGGACACAAATCAAATGAAACATTTCACTAGAAACAGCTCAGTCCTCAAGACTGAAAATAGGGCCCTGTCAGGTAGAGTTCCTGATGAGGTACTCTGAGACCCTTCTGCAAGACACCTGCAAAATGTACTATTTACACCAATGGCACGGTTATTATTTCCTGCAGACCGGCAACTCCGGTTTCCAACTGATTCCCAAGAAGGGCAGAGCTGCAAACAGTGGGTCACGCCCAGGCACCCCCAGCCTCCCTGCCAGCGTGGCAGCACAAAAAGCAGAAAAGGCCTTGGCTCTGTTGTAAGCCCTGCTCAGTGATAACAAAAACACCTCTATATTATCAACCCTGTGTTCAGCACAAATCCAAAACACACCCCCACACCAGCTACTGTGAAGAAAATTAACTCTAGCCCAGCCAAAACCAGCACAGATGGCCACACTTCTGCAGAGGTGTGATAAGCTGGGTGTAAGTGAAAGTGTTCAGCTTTGCTGCAAGTAACTTAATTGCCAGAATTAGAAGCATCTATTCAGCAGTGAAGCTTCTGGTCAGCAAACATTCTGAAAGCTCCAGCAGCTACATGAGGAATGCTGGCTTGTAATTCAGGCACTTAAGTGGTGCTCTTATTGGACTGTGTAGATACATGCTATTTTGGTTTTCTGCAGCTGTCTTAGTACTGTTTTCAAGTATGGAAATTTATAATTTTACCATCTGGTTTCAGTGTATTTAATATTTTATAGCTCAGCATTGATATGAAGTGCTGTCTGCTGTTACTTACTCTGCTAACTTTCCACCAAACAACCAAAATACAAGAAGACAGTGACCCATAGTTTGAACAGAACTGGACTTTGTTTTCTGAAAGGAGTACTGATAGCCTTCCTTCATTCCCTGAATTTCAGGGCTACAAAATGTGAAAAAAAAAATATCTACATCTGTCTATCTAGGTATTTATGTGTGTTTGTGGGGCACTACACTGTACACTGAATATAGCTAACTTCAAAAACCATGCATGCAAACTACAGAAGGCAATTTTACTGGTTAAAAAAAAATTAGAACTTTTCAAAGAGAGACTAGCAACATAAGTAGAAGTATTAAAAAGTATATTTTCCACTCTGCTTTTATTCTGATTGCTGGAACTCTGAGAATTGTGGCATTTTAAAATCATCTTTGAGGAGCAAAAAACACTCCGAAAAGCAGCAGGAGTACTTTCTGTGCCTCTAAAATCATACCTTACATCATGCAATTATTATCCACTCCTAAGGATAAAAAAAATGTACCTTATAGGCACAGCTCGAGCACCGGCAGATTCCACAAATTTCACATATGAAGCCGCAATATAAGATCTTCCAAATTGCTGGTACTCATTAAAGTGACATTCCTGTGACAATATCCCTGAAGGGCCCAAGGAAGAAAATTAGCACCATACACATGGCAAACGCTACACAATGAAAGAAAAGTCACAAAAACACTGAATCTATTAGCTTGGAAAAGACCTCTGAGATCATCAAATCCAACCTACAAATGAACTCCACCGTGCCAACCAGACCATGAAACAAGTGCCATGTCCAGTTCTTCCTTAAACGCCTCCAGGGACGGTGACCCCACCACCTCCCTGGGCAGTCCATTACAGTATCACCCCTTCTGTGAGGAAATTCTTTCTAATGTCTAACCTAAACCTCCCCTAGGTAGCTTAAGAGTGTCTCTTGTCCTACTGCTAGTTGCCGAGAAGAGCCCGACCCCCACCTGGCTCCAGCCGCCTTTCAGGCAATGGTAAAGACCGATAAGGTCACACCGGAGCCTTCTCTTCTCCGGCCCAAACCACGCCAGGTTCCTCAGCCGCTCCTCCTTACACCCGTGCTCCTATTAATTAATTAAGCTCCCATTTCCTACATACCAGATAGCAGCGATGCATTCACTGCCCAGAGGAACTGCAGGCACCAAGACAACGGGGCATCAATTCCGGCGCCCCGTCACAAGGTACCACACAAACACAATTACCTGACTAACACTCGGCTTCCCTGCTATGACTGCTCAGCACTGTAACATCTCTCAAGCAAGCCTGACTTTTAGAGAAACAGCCTAACGCCGCTTACACCAGCTCTAGCCAAGCCTCGGCTCCGTGGGACGCTCCCCTTTGGCCCAGGCAGGTGCGCGGCCCCCGGCCCCTTACCGATGATGGGTCTGTCATTGCGCCCGGCCG